AGTAGTTTTTCGAATGTCGCAGTTTAGAAGTTCGTTCTACTGGTCTTCGTTCTAACGAATTTTAAAGAAGAATTGTTGCTTGAGAAAGGACCCAGCGAGGGATCCAAAAACGTTTGCATGTAATATTACTCTTATTTAATACCGGTTAAAGGTTTGATGAGGGATTATTTTTGTATTTTATATTAATCCGGTATTTGAAGATTCTTTATTTATGTATAATATGATGTTATCTATTGAGAGTTGCATCAACCATTTCAAATTTAATTTGTATGTTGAAACATTTTCTGATTTTGAATGTTTTGATTCCTGACAATAAAATTTTCAGCCTATTCTTAGGCCAAAAATGTTACAGTTTTTGAGTTATATTACTGTTACTATTGTAGAATTTTATGTTTTAGAATGCACTATAGCCACTCCTCACTTAACAATTTACCTGTTTAGCTCCTGCTCAAACTTATGACTAACAGTCAAGTCCAGAAATTCCCCTTTCTCAGTCTGAATCTCAGGAATCCTTTTTTGTAGATTCAGACTTGTTCTTGCAGTCAGTCAGTGTTTACTACACGAAGCATTCACAATATTCAAGACTACATATTTCATTTATAAATCTGTACTTCATTATGCATTACATAGTACAAAATGTCAGCAAAAAAGAAAGAGTGTGATTTCACCTGGTGGAAGCATCACAAATTGAAGAAAGGACAACAAAGTTAAAAGCATAATAGCACTCAGATGAGGTAAGAGTAGAACAGTAGTAGTTCACTGTATAGGGGCTTGCTGGTATGTTCTTGAAATTGAATGCAGCTTAATAGCAAATGAATGAACTTTTATAATGCTGTTATAGAATTTATGAAGAAAAAAAACTTAAAAAGCAGATCACACTAATGAGATTCTTCTCAAAAGCTACTGTAAACTCAAGACTCCTATCCCTGTAAGTGTTTCCATTTCTTCATAGTCATCCCTGTTATCTAGGCCATCTACAGCTCCTGATAATCCTGCTGATAACTTCTATGATGACACTTAAGACCTAGAACCATTACCACCTTTTAAGGATTCGATGACTAAAATATTAATCTGAATGACTTTTTTTAGATGAATAAACTTTAATTTTTTAGTAATTTAGTAATTAAATTTTGTTTTGATGCTTTAAATGGTGTCGTTCTTGAGCTGAACTCTACACCAAAGTCTTATCACGAATCTACGATCCTTCCCTCTCAGAAAAGTATATAATTTTATTCATTAGTGTGCCTAATGCTCTAATTAGGCTGGTGTCAGGAAAAACCAACAGGTAGATTGAACGAACTACCTGTCACTCAAATCAAATACTAAAAACCCATCCTAGTGATCCTGCAGACGGATCTATTCGATCTGAGATCAAACAANTTAAATTTTAATTATAAGCAAGTTAACCATTGGTTAAACTATTGGATTGCATAATTGATTTTCAAAACTATAACTACAGAATATCTTACAGGTATGATCAGTGTTGTCAGTTTTTAGGCCCTAAATTTGCCAAAATCAGTGATATCTGTTACCCAATGTTATTTCTGTTAAACTAATTATTAAACTATGTATCGAAATTGTGGAAATTAACAGAAGAGAGAGGGAAAAATACACTTGCAGTACAGTACTTTCAAGAAAAATCATAACAAAAATGTAAAAAAGTTCATGCCAAGCACAAGTTGGCGCCAGTATTTTACTGAAAATGTCAGGTAACTATTTATAATTTTTTATGCTGTGTAGTAATGTTTTAAATGTGAAAAATGATTAAATTAAATTACAGATCTATTTTGAAGTGAACATTCTAATAAATTATGATTTCAATTTAGAAATTTGTTTGCAAACTTTTAAATTTAGTTATTTTTTATTCTAATTAACAATTTCTTTTTTTTATAATTGCTGAATTATTAAAATTAAAATTAAACACTATTACATAAAAGTAGTTTATCCTGTTATTAATCCACAACTGTAAAATTATATGACTACAGAACAGTGAAAAAAGCCATTTCAAAATGGATTCTGGTATATTTTCTTATTAAAGATTGCAGCATTACTTCTTGCTGCCTGCAGATGGCTACACTTAGCCATATTCAGCAAATGAAATCAACAAGGCAGCTAAGGAGACAAATTTCTTGACTTTCCATGACTTTTTCCAAATACTAATAAAAATCCCTGACTTTCCAGGTGTGTAGGAATCCTGTATATAGGAAGTATATACAGATATATACCTATATATACTTCCTACCTATATAGCTTGTAATATATTAGCAATAAAAGCTAAATCATAATATTGAAATTTTTTATGATTAAAAAAATTAGTATATAACATTGTTATTATAAAATTCAAATTACAGATATAGAAATTATTTTATTACTAGAAATTTCCCTGTCAAGCATGACAGACTACTTTCTATGAGGAAGTAGAGCTTGAAGAATTGAGAAGAGTACAGATTTCAAGAAATTCAAGAAGAGTAACTAATATTTCTACAAATTAAGTAGCATATACTGCCCGTCAAAGCATAGTTAATACACAATAATACATTTTAAATAATAGGCTTCTTAGATCATTACTTCTGACTGGATAATAGAACATCATTTGGTCATTATAAAAAGTTTCTTTTAATTGTTGTAGAAGCAACATAATGTGGCTATCTTTTCTTAAGTTTAAATTTAATAAAGTAAGTTTAAAATACACCAAATAACTTTTTTAATAAGTTAAAAATAGGCTAAATTCAATGATTATTAATTTACAAAATTTATCAATTCATCTACAGTACACTCTTGCTAATCAGGTCTCTTAATTATCTGGCAAACCCTCCAAGTGTGATTGCCTGTGTACTTCCACTTCTATGAAAAATGTCAGTCATGTCATACATCCCATTTTCTTTCTTTCCACAGTATTGCACATCAGCATGCTGTATTACTTGCTTACTTGCCTACAAAAACAATCAGTACCAAATGGCAGCAGGTTCATTCATTTTCTTCAGGATCATACATTGAGTAATCCAGCATCCCTTTGTGCAAGGAATGGTCAGATTAAAAACAGTTCACCGTATCTATTCTTCTCATTAATTCATTAACCTAACTCACTTTACCTTTTATTGCTGGGATCAGGGCCGGATCATCATAGACAAATGAGACAAATGTCTAGGACCTGGTCAAACTGCCTATTTTGAAAAGAATTGTAAATAAGATAGTTTACTTTTCTGTTGGACAACTGTATAATACTGGTAAAACATGATATTATTTAAATGTTAACCAAAAAGGTTAAATTAAACAAGTAAAACGGCAAAACCGTATTTGGGACACAACTATGCCTCAGAGATACTACTAAGCTGAATCATTTTGGTGCTCAAAGCGAATCTCGTTCTCATTCTCCAATCTTATTTGGTATCGCCGCTTTTGGGCGTGATAATTCAAACTTCACCGGCCACAACCATGTGCCACGATGTATTTTCGATGAAATTAACCCATCCAATTTCGAAATTTCTTTCCGTTGCAACCTGTCAGCCTGGGTTGAATTTTTGTCAGTGCCTAATGAAAATTTCCCATTTTTGAAAAAATAACTGTGGCTATTGTATCATCCAAAATTATTTTTTTATTTTGCACAAACAATATACAGTTATATCCGATTACAATGTTAAATTTTTATTGGTTCCACAATTTTACTATACTAGATAATGTTAAAAAATCTACTTGTAACAACTGTTTTAATGTCATATTTGAAGCACTCCCAAATTTACAAAATTAGATTACAAATTTTATTCAACAAAGAACTATGTGTTCAGTCCTAGGGTCAGAGTCCACTAAAGATACTATGTGTTCAGTCCTAGAGTCAGAGTCCACTTCCTAGAATGACTATGGGTGGTACTCTCACCACCTGACTTTGGTTTGCCTGTTTGTAGAGAGTCACCATTTTGTATTTTACTTTGACTCGGTTCTTGGTCCTCTGAGTAGGCTACCTACAGGTCTGTTTTTTTTACGCACGCATGATTTGGGCACTTAATACTCTGTGCCATATTGCAACTCCTGACATGTACGATTTTATAAACAAGACACAGTCTTATTGACAATTAATATTTTAAGGTAATATTTTTATTTATAACAACTTTTGTTAGACATTTAATAAAATAAATTTCAATTTTTTAAATTTATAAACAAACTGTTCAACTTTTCTAGAAAAACTAAAATTTATTGTTGTGTATTAAATATTTTTTATTAATAAAAATTTAAGATTTGTTTTAGTTTTTCACATTATTTAGTTTTGTTTTATTTATTGTTTTATATTTTTTGTGTGCTCTATTTCTTGTGAGAGAGGGGACCCTGTAAGAAGAAAATGTCTAGGGCCCCAAAGTGGGTTAATCCAGCCCTGGCTGGGATTTAATTTTATTTCTTTATACAGGCAGATTAAACATATACACATACATAAATAAATGCTCAGACTAAAATAATATACTATTATGAAAACATTTATTTATTGTAAAAAAATTAATACTTAAGTTCTTTGTCATAACAGATTATAGAAGCTTTTGTTACTGATTTAATTAAATTTATGTTTAAACATGAATTATTGTATTGTTTGATTGGTAAATGTTCACCTAGGTAGCCCTAATGGCGGCACCTCCGTTAATGGGGCACCAGTTGTTTTCACTAGTTTTTTACTGAAATCACACCACCCTCACAATTGTCGAGTTTTTAACACATCAGTTTACCACTATCCTACATGCTTTGCATGTAGACGTGCACCTCGGTGCTCTCTATTGCTACCACCTCAGTGCCCAGGCAAGGGCTCGCCCCACACCCCCTACTACTATACAACATCAAGTGGGCTAAATTGTTAAACACAATACTACCATTGGGCTATCTAGGTGAACATCTACCGTTTGATTTGTTTCCTTCCATTTATTCTGAATGAGAGTAAACTTATCAGAAAGACTTGTAAAATAGTAAATTCATATATTTTTGTGTAATTGTATCTAACAGTTTACATATTTTATATTTACCTGGTAATAAGCTTTCTTTATTTCTTTTTGGCTGGAATTCCTTGAAACACCGAGTACGTCATAATAATCTTTTTTCTTATGAAATGTGGCTGACGTATGGAAATTACAAATTGGGAAAAGTTGTTCTGTAAATAAGAAATTAACATTTTAAGCATTTATTATTTATAAAAGCATGTAATTCTGCAGAATTAAATTATGTTAAACATACCAAAGACATATCTCCGATAACAAAACGATCGAAAATTTTTTAATTTTACACATGATAAGCAAGCTCTCAAATATCTTGCAGGTAAGATAACCGAGAACATAATTTATTATAAATATTAACTTTCAACGAATTCTTAATTCATACATCCCAACACTTCAAATGATGCAATTCAATAACAAGGCATGAGAAGGTTAGCAGCGACCTCTGCTGCCAAATAAAAAAAATTAAATTAGCAATAAAAGCTAAATCATAATATTGAAATTTTTTATGATTAAAAAAATTAGTATATAACATTGTTATTATAAAATTCAAATTACAGATATAGAAATTATTTTATTACTAGAAATTTCCCTGTCAAGCATGACAGACTACTTTCTATGAGAAAGTAGAGCTTGAAGAATTGAGAAGAGTACAGATTTCAAGAAATTCAAGAAGAGTAACTAATATTTCTACAAATTAAGTAGCATATACTGCCCGTCAAAGCATAGTTAATACACAATAATACATTTTAAATAATAGGCTTCTTAGATCATTACTTCTGACTGGATAATAGAACATCATTTGGTCATTATAAAAAGTTTCTTTTAATTGTTGTAGAAGCAACATAATGTGTCTATCTTTTCTTAAGTTTAAATTTAATAAAGTAAGTTTAAAATACACCAAATAACTTTTTTAATAAGTTAAAAATAGGCTAAATTCAATGATTATTAATTTACAAAATTTATCAATTCATCTACAGTACACTCTTGCTAATCAGGTCTCTTAATTATCTGGCAAACCCTCCAAGTGTGATTGCCTGTGTACTTCCACTTCTATGAAAAATGTCAGTCATGTCATACATCCCATTTTCTTTCTTTCCACAGTATTGCACATCAGCATGCTGTATTACTTGCTTACTTGCCTACAAAAACAATCAGTACCAAATGGCAGCAGGTTCATTCATTTTCTTCAGGATCATACATTGAGTAATCCAGCATCCCTTTGTGCAAGGAATGGTCAGATTAAAAACAGTTCACCGTATCTATTCTTCTCATTAATTCATTAACCTAACTCACTTTACCTTTTATTGCTGGGATCAGGGCCGGATCATCATAGACAAATGAGACAAATGTCTAGGACCTGGTCAAACTGCCTATTTTGAAAAGAATTGTAAATAAGATAGTTTACTTTTCTGTTGGACAACTGTATAATACTGGTAAAACATGATATTATTTAAATGTTAACCAAAAAGGTTAAATTAAACAAGTAAAACGGCAAAACCGTATTTGGGACACAACTATGCCTCAGAGATACTACTAAGCTGAATCATTTTGGTGCTCAAAGCGAATCTCGTTCTCATTCTCCAATCTTATTTGGTATCGCCGCTTTTGGGCGTGATAATTCAAACTTCACCGGCCACAACCATGTGCCACGATGTATTTTCGATGAAATTAACCCATCCAATTTCGAAATTTCTTTCCGTTGCAACCTGTCAGCCTGGGTTGAATTTTTGTCAGTGCCTAATGAAAATTTCCCATTTTTGAAAAAATAACTGTGGCTATTGTATCATCCAAAATTATTTTTTTATTTTGCACAAACAATATACAGTTTANGAAAATACTTTATTTTGTATTAAATGGGAAAATTTTATATTAAATATAGGATAAAACAAAAATAATATTTTACATCTATTGAATGAATAATTTTAACGTTTTCGTTTATTATTCCATTACAACTTTATATTCATTTGTGATAAGAATTTTTCTTATACTTAAAACGGCTATTTTCTATCGTATTTATGTTATTAAATTTTCATTTCCTTTTTTAATATTGTCTTAATTTAACGCTCGTTCTACAATACAGTAATACCCCGAACTTACGCGATAGGTGGGACCGAGCGGTAACCGCGTAAGTCGGGGTATAATTTCGCATATAAATACATACAAATAACTTTTAATTGGGGCCGGAGACTAAAGAAAACAATAATTTAGAAAAAAATGTTTAATAAAATCTTAGATAATACATATGTATAACAAATTACGCCTATATTATTTTACAATTTTTCACATTTACTTGATTATTACGCTATCATTTTAACATTGTTTCCATCTCAGCGATAATACTGCGACGTTTACGAATGATGCTTGAATTTAAAGATTGAGCATTTTTCGCAGCTTCGAGAATTTTTCCTTTGCCTTTTATAATTGTTCTGAACGACAATTCCGGTAGATCAAACTTCTTTGCCAATTCACAAATTTTCATTTTTGTATCGAAGTCTTTATTAATGGGTACGTTCGTAAAGTCAAACGAGTTAAACGCGTTAGTAACGAATCATTCGAAAAGTCTAACGAAATAGGAATAACGATGACGTCATTCTGGCTTAACTCGTTCGACTTTACGAACATACCCGATGTTAACTTTACATTCCAAAGATAAAGTTTTTCTTTTCTTGTTTGATGCAGAAGTATTAGTTCTACTTCGTTTGGATGGCATAGTAGAGTCTCTCGAGTCTCCGTAGATATAAAATACACAGAAATAAATACCACAAAATAAATTGTAGCTATGCGTCGATTCCGTGCGACACATCCGAACATGTAAGCTGAACAATAGTGTGGGAGAGTGAGTAATCAATGGTTGCGTGGCGCTCAAACAAAAGACGAATCGACGAGATTTGAAAATCGCGTAACTCCGGGTTCGCGTAAGTCGGGGTAGCGTAAGTCGGGGTATTACTGTATTTAATACTCGTTTGTTTTCCGCTTGCAGAATGGATAATTTCAAAGCGTTAAAGAAATGGAATACCTCTGGAGGAGAGAGTGCAGAGGATAGCTCTTCGACATCAGGAACCGTCTTCCTCTTCGATTCGAGTGATTCGCGTGCGTCCGAAAGAAGTGCTGGAGGGTGCGAAGGAGAAATCTGGTCAACCCGACAAGAAACGGGTGATTGTCATCATTCCCGATGAGAGCACGTCGTCTGACATCGATTACCTGGAACAGAGATATCCAGAAGTTCCAGAATGGTCGGTGCAGAGACAGGCACGCGAGCAAGGACTGGAAGAGGAGTGCAAATCGATTCTGAAAAAGAGGAAAAAGAAGCCTTGGTGGAAGAAGATCTTCTTCTTCTGGAAGAAATAAATCAGCAAGGTCTTCTCACCGGATGTAACTTCTCCCCGANCGAAGTTGCCCCGGTCTCTCCTAATATTTATTGTATGGTTTAGAATATAAAATATAATTAAATTTGATATTTTATCACAATTATAATTATACATTTTTCGGGGGCAGCATCATGTCAAAGTGCTGTCATATATAAATATTATTTTGACAAAAAGGGCCACAAATACAAACACACACTCAATCATACAATAAAATAATACATACAAAAAATACACAAATAAAAATAATTACAAATCTAAAAAGTATAACATAACATTAAAATTTAACCGATATAATTCTAAAAAGTATAAACAATACACAATTAATCAATATACAACCATTGAAAAACTAAAATACACCGAACAACAAAAAAAAAAACTTTTACTGCGGCACAAGACTTTATACACACCGACGATGACAACGAAAGGAGTTCCGGAGCGCTGTAACGCGGTCCGGAGGGACAGAGGTGGGTCAAAACA